GCTCCTTACCTTCATGCTCTTGATGGCCTCATATCCGTCCTGCACCGAGCGGATCTCCTCGTACACCGTCTCGTGCGGCAGCAGCAGCTGGTTGAGGATCTGCAGAGACCCGGCCCGGTACCGGATCGCCTCCAGCGTCATGTCCCGCGCGCTCTCCGAGCCTTTTTTTTTGTTGTCTTTAAAAAAAGCGCCGAACTGAACCTGATTTCAGAAAGAAGCCGTCAGAGCCAGGCGCGCGCGGGCGGGCGGGAGCAGTCCGGAGCTCCGGGGTTCGCCGTGCTGGGGGGTGGGGGTGGGTTTCGGGGGCGATTTAAAGGTGCAAAGGCGCAACACACTCAGCCAGCCACAACACGCGGAAGCACGTGCTCACTCCGGCAGGAAACTCGAAGGCCTGGTCACGCCCACTCCCTCCTTAGCCCCCCCCTCATGTAGGCAGGAGAGGAGTGAACTCATTATTTCGTTTTAGGACCAAATCAGACCTCCTGCTGAAGCGTGTTAGCTCAGTATAGCTGCGGGGATTCCCTCTGAGAAAAACAGAAACCTTTAAAAGTTCCTATTGGTTCCTGATGGTGTCCAGGAGTCACTAATGGTACTGTGTGTTTTCCTAATGGGTTGATATTTCACTTTTGGGGGGTTTATGTTCTATAATCTCACTGCTGTATTTTTTAAAATGAAAAATAAATGTATTATCGCAGTATTTCGAGATGTTTTCACAATACTACGGAGCCCTGCTGGTGACATCCCATATAAATATTAATAATGCGTGGCCACGCCTTATTAACGTGTGGGAACAAGATCCTAATGCATGGCCATGACTTAGTAAGGCAGGGGAATGAGATAATTAAGTGGTGGCCACCACTTAGTAAGGTGTGGGAATGAGATCATGCCTTACTAAGTCATGGCCACATATTAGGATCTCTTTCCCACACGTTAATAAAGCATGGCCACAATTAGTAAGGCATGGGAATGAGATAATCAAGTCGTGGCCACCACTAATAGGGTGTGGGAACAAAATCATGCCTTACTAAGTCATGGCCACACATTAGAATCCCATTCCCACGCCTTACTAAGTCACGGCCACGCATTAGGATCTCGTTCCCACACGTTAATAAGGTGTGGCCACAACTTACTAAGGCATTGGAATGAGATAATCAAGTCGTGGCCACCGTAAGGAAGGTGTGGGAACAAGATCATGCCTTACTAAGTCATGGCCATGCATTAGAATCTCGTTCCCACACATTAATAATGCGTGGCCACAACGTGGTAAGGCATGGGAATCAGATAATCAGGTTGTGGCCACCGTTAGTAAGGTGTGGGAACAAGATCATGCCTTACTAATTCATGGCCACACATTAGGATCTCATTCCCACATGTTAATAAGGTGTGGCCGCCACAACTTAGTAAGGCATGGGAATGAGATAATCAGGTTGTGTCCACCGTTAGTAAGGTGTGGGAACAAGATCATGCCTTACTAATTCATGGCCACACATTAGGATCTCATTCCCACATGTTAATAAGGTGTGGCCGCCACAACTTAGTAAGGCATGGGAATGAGATAATCAAGTTGTGGCCACCGTTAGTAAGGTGTGGGAACAAGATCATGCCTTACTAGTTCATGGCCACACATTAGGATCTCATTCCCACATGTTAATAAGGTGTGGCCACAACTTAGTAAGGCATGGGAATGAGATAATCAGGTTGTGTCCACCGTTAGTAAGGTGTGGGAACAAGATCATGCCTTACTAAGTCATGGCCATGCATTAGGATCTCGTTCCCACACATTAATAAGGTGTGGCCACAACTTAGTAAGGCATGGGAATGAGATAATCAAGTCGTGGCCACAGTTAGTAAGGTATTGTGTAGTGAGGTATTGTGTGTTTTCCTGATGGATTGATGTCACAGTGTAAAGGATTCTGATGGGTTCACAGATGTTCTGGGACTCAGACCAGAGGCATTTGATGGTTTCCTAATGGGATCTAAAGGTGTCTTAAGGGCAGGGTTGGGATGTAATGGAATACAAGCACTGGGAACATGTATTCAGAATACAGAAATTAAGTACCTGTATTCAGTCCAAGTTACATTTTGTAAAGGCACTATTGAGAATACAGTTACATTTTTAGGGGAATACTTTTAAAATATTTACACAATAAATTACATAAAAAAACATACAATATTCAAAATAAACACCATCAAATGTTTAACTATGAACTATAGCGTGTGGCAAACATGCTTGTTAGACAAATTTTAAAGAAATTTTAAGAGGCACCATTGATGCTGAATGATATGTACGGGTTTTGGCAATATGTGCTGCCATCCAGACAACGTCTTTTTCAGGGAAGGCCTTGATTATTTCAGCAAGACAATGTCAAACCACATTCTGCACCTATTACAACAGCATTGCTCCGGATTAAAAGAGTCCAGGTGCTAAACTGACCTGGCTGCAGTCCAGACCGGTCACCACTGATAACATCTGGCGCATTATGAAATGAAAAATATGACAAAGGAGACCCTGAACTGAAGTGCAGCTGTTTCAAAGCTGTTTCAAAACACTTTCACAACTACAGCAGTGTCTCCTCAGTTCCCAAATGCTTACAGAGTGTTGTTAAAAGAAGTGGTGATGAGACACAGTGGTAAACAGGCCCCCGTCCCAACTTTTTTGGAACGTGTTGTTGGCATCTAATTCAAAATGGACATATATTTTTCAAAAAACAATAAAATTTCTCAGTTTCAGCATTTGATATGTTGTCTTTGTACTATTTCCAGTTAAATATAGGGTTTAAATTATTTGCACATCATTGCATTTTGTTTTTATTTACATTTTGCACAGCGTCCCAACTTTTTTGGAAACAGCGTATTTTGTATGGCTCTGTTTTACAGTTTGTCTTTCTGTGAAGGCTTGAACTCAAATTATGTTGTTTTAAGTTAGCCTATTAGCTTTTCGCTAACCTGCTCAGTCTACTCCAGTGAGGGCAGAATATATCCAGTTACTGAGAATGTAGTGTAAACCACTGAAAGAGAGTTTGTTAGCAGAGAATCGGTATGTTCAACTAGCAATTCTTCATCTGGTCGGTTTTTATGGGTACAGATTTCAACAGTAACTGGGCTTTTTCAAGCAGTGTTTGAAGCCGTTTCCATGTCCTTTCAAGCTCTGTGCAATTTTTTTTTTTGGCTATTTATGCTCAAAACGTTCCTGTTATTACCATACTTTCTTTTTCATTTAGTGACAGCCTCAAACTGCATGTTGTCCCAGAATGCCTGAGACACATTTAGCAGGATGTAAAACAATGACGTAACAAATAAGTACAATTCTTTGACTCAGCTAAAACAGTAATGAATGAAACTTCTGTTCCCCAGCCAGATATTTTGGCCATAATTGAGAAATTCAGTGGTCATGAAAAATAAGAGGGACAAAGGAGATTTTGGTCTGGAGAAGTTGGTTGCGACATTCCAAATGCTGGTGCCAGGTAGAAAATGAAGCCCCCATTAGTTCAAAATAGCTTAGTTTGTGTTAATGTTAAACACACTATATTTCCAAAATTATTCAGACAGCTCTTCTAATGAGTGAATGCAATCAAATGCAATCAAATCCTCACAGCGATGTCCTAGCTTCCTGTGTAAAGTCTACTCAGAAGTTACTGCAGCAAAGGGGGACAGACTCCTTCTTAATATCCCTGATTTCAGAAGAAACACTGAATGAGCAGGTGTCTACAAAACTGCTATATGTATGTGTGTATATATATATATATATATATATATATATATATACACACACACACACACCGATCAGGCATAACATTATGACCTTGTTTCTACGCTCATTGTCCATTCTATCAGCTCCACTTACTATATAGGTGCACTTTGTAGTTCTACAGTTACAGACTGTAGTCCATCTGTTTCTCTGCATACTTTGTTAGCCCCCTTTTACCCTGTTCTTCAGTGGTCAGGACCCCCATGGACCCTCACAGAGCAGGTACTATTTGGGAGGTGGATCATTCTCAGCACTGCAGTAACACTGATGTGGTGGTGGTGTGTTAGTGTGTGTTGCGCTGGTCTGAGTGGATCAGACACAGCAGTGCTGCTGGAGTTTTTAAACACCTCAGTGTCACTGCTGGACTGAGAATAGTCCACCAACCAAAAACATCCAGCCAACAGCGTCCTGTGGGCAGCGTCCTGTGACCACTGATGAAGGACTAGAGGATGACCAACACAAACTGTGCAGCAGCAGATGAGCTATCATCTCTGACTTTACATCTACAAGGTGGACCGACAAGGTAGGAGTGTCTAATAGAGTGGACAGTGAGTGGACACAGTGTTTAAAAACTCCAGCAGCACTGCTGTGTCTGATCCACTCAGACCAGCGCAACACACACTAACACACCACCACCACATCAGTGTTACTGCAGTGCTGAGAATGATCCAGCACTAACAAATCAGCACAAGCCAGCTAATATGATATGAGTGATAATTTTAATATTTATGACGTATTTATCTTCTCAGAACAGTGACCTTGAAGGTTAATACTATAGCTGAACCAACCACTGTTTTATATGTAGACTGTTCTAAAGCAAATATCATTAAAAAGTAGAGATGTGGTTCTTTTTTACTGGTGACTGTGAGAACGGCCATACTGATTTAAGTTGAGAACACAACCCTGACTTTCCGAGTAGAAATTCCCAGCTGAGGGGTGAAATTCCGAGTTAGGAGATTAATTTGAGATCAGCATTAGTACTAGCTGGCTATCTAATGTGTTACGTTTCTAGTTTAATAACACTCGCGGCATCCCGAGTCCAGACCCCAACACCATTGAATGTGTTTGGGATTATTTGGGTTGTTAGAAACAGAAAATGCAACCAACTTCTAACACTGAACTTTTGCCAGAGTGGAAATATATCAGACGGAGACCGTTTGACCGTAAATCAAATACATGAAATGTGGACTTTTGCACAGTAAAGTGGACAGAGAGAGAAAATAAACCAGTTCATCATCCTACACACAACACAAACTGCTGACTTCTGCATTTTAATGGAGTCATCATAAGTCATTTGCCCAAAATAACAGTGCATTCTGCAGTAAATATTAACAATAGACATCATAGCCATCACCACAGATACATACAAGATTAGGGTTGCTTTCAAAAATACATTACATACATTAATACATACATTTGCAAAGATGGCCATAACCGTAATGGAAAAAATATGTTTTAAAAAAAGGAAATAAAAAATGTTATAATCCCAAAATGATGTAATATGTCATGTAATTCATTTGAGCTTGGTGAGGGTGAGAAAGAGGGGAGATGTGTTCTGCGATTGTCTCAAGAAAACAAGAAGACACAGTCGTGGTAATTAGTTTTAGAGCAACTCAGACCCACAAATAAACTCTGAACCATAAATAAGTGCCATTTCGATGCATCGTTCACACAACCTGCACCGATTTTCTTTGCATTTTATGATCTATAACTTCACCAAATACATTATTTTATAGGTAAAATACTTTCCAACCCACACCAGTCCACCTTCCAACACCTCAAAACAAACTTAGGAGGACTTTATTTCACAAAGTAGGACTTCTGAGTCTGATATCTTTCCCAAGTGGGAACTTTCCAAAGCTCTTCTACAATTGGACAAGGTTGACTTTTCGTTTAAGCAATGCTAACCTTGCTACAACAATGCATGAAAGTGACTCAGCACAAATTAGCACGGCGAAAGTAACACCATGCTAACCGGCAAATACTGACTTACATACAATGCCAGCAACGTTAGCGTGTATGGCTGAGCTCTCCTGGGATGGGAACATGCACATCACACCACTGTTCCAAACAGCGCCATGCTAAGATCTATTATGGCTTTAGTTTTACGCTGTTTCACTCTGGGAAGTTTTATTAGCCCAGCTTAGAGGGCTTTGCTAATGACACAGTTAGCCCCTTAAACAATAAGAGTCCATTTGCGATAAGAAACTTCAATTCTTCACTCTCAGAAGTACAAAACACACATGCTAGTAGTTACTGAGTAACTGAACTAACTGTGCTTCACCCACAAATGCGCTCTTTCGTAGCCACTGTTGTTGGACGCTTTACAGAAAGTTGGCAATCCAACCTAATCAGAAACCGAAACTCAGCTCAGCCGAATCGCTACGTTTGTTTGGAGTCGCTACACAACACTGAGTGTCAAGTTTAAAATGCTATGCTACGAAGCTAGCCTGTGTCGTTCTTGCTAATCATCTCATCAGCTAACTAGGTTCCAGGTTGGAAATGGAAAAGGCTGGTCGCCGTACTAACGTTAGCGCAAATACACCACAAAGTGCGTGGTTTTTAGCATGAAGCCAGATCAGAGCTATGCTAACAATGTGACCTTTTACATGCAAACAAAACTAAAATCATCTGAAATTAATAAGACACTGTAAATGCAGGTAGGAGTAAGGTGAGCTCAGGTTCTGGATGATTTTTAACATATGAACATCGGCCTCGTATGTTTTCTAACGATCGATTATTTATGCAGATTCTTTTTAATGAAAGAATAAACACTCCTTACAACTTCAGTGTGAATGGGCGGGGCTAAACTGCTGTAGGCTGAACAGGTAGATATATTCAAATGCGATGTTTTTTTTTGGTGACATCATAAAAACAGTCCACTCAGAACAGGCTGTTTCGCAGCCTTGTTTCCATATATGCATCGTGTGGACTGGTGCGTCGCCAAACTATCACAATGTTTACATACTACATCAAATTCTTTTCGTCAAAAAGGCGAAGAAAATCTTTTCTACGATACAGTTGTGCGCAAAATCGCGGTCAAATGACAGGTTTTGTTGATTTTCTTAGTTAAAACAAGATAACACATCCTCTACGGAGAACACGCTTAAATATGGCATTTTCCTGCAAACATTTTAGCACAGTTTCTGTTTATTTGCTGAGTTTAAAACACTGGAGAAAAGTGAAAATCTAAAAAGTGCCGTAACTTTTGCACAGGCCACAAAGTCTTTTTCTGCCAATGTGTTAACATCAGCAAACAAACTGTAACTGTGCCTTACAATGTGCAGCATTGTGTTCACAGAAGATGATGTGGTAACTAATTTGCACAGGATCAACAAAAACATGGAATTTGACCGGGGTGCCAAAACTTTTGCACACAGCTGAACAGACCCCTTAATGCCCGTGCAGACCACTAATTGTGTGCTACAGTTTCTCACTGGGCTGAATGGGATTTCTGTAAAGCCTGCTCGACCCAACAGCTTCCAAAGAGCGCGTTTGTGGGCGGAGCCTGGACAGCATTTATAGCAGTTACTGAGCAATAAGCCTCATAATTAATAACTGCACAATAAGCCTGCAGTGTAACGGGTTAAAAGTCCTGCTGCTGGACTGTTACGGTCAGTAAGAGCAAAGTACAAGATGAATACGCAAACTCTCTCTCTCATTCACTCACTCACTCTATCTCTACCTCTCTCGCTCAGCATATCAAACAAAGAGTTTAAGCTCTCTTTAAGATTCTACCCATCTGTTTTTCTACCCTCTTGAAGCCCCCTATTCTCTCCCTCCACAGACCCCTACAACACCCCCCGTCAACCAAAGGTCACCCGGGCAACCAGACGGGGGGTTAATCCCTGATTATTAAAGGACTTGATCCCCCTCCCCCCTTTTTTGCCTCCCTCAAAACACATGCACAGCCTCTTTAATTTCACCCCAGGGTGTTCGCATTAGTCCCCTATCACAGCAGTGCGGGCGTGCGAGGTTGGATTAAGCTGCAGTGAGTGAGACTACTGCAGAGGCCAGATTACACTTAAACTGCTATTATACAAACGACTCTCTCGGAGGATTTACACCACTTACACACACACAGGCCGGCTACCCAACCCAAAATACTGAGATATTTCATGTACAATCAGACTCGGGTTTATTGTATAGTCTTATTTTATGTAGTAGAATTGTTCTTTACTTTCCACATAATATCATAATCTATATCTGTGTTCAGAGCAGCTCTGAAGTCTGAGAAGAGGGTGAATGTGCCACTGGTAGAAACTGTGGATGACGTATATCAGTCTCAGTCTCTCCAGGATGGATGAGGGGGTTGTGTTGTGTTAGTGGAAAGATCACAGTGGATCACAGTGGATCTTTCATTTCCTCATTAAAGAAGACTGCTATTTTTAATATTTCTGCATAATTATAAGGCTAAGATGTAAACAAAGTCATTCAAAGTGGTCTGATGTGAAATTCTAGTCAGAATGGCTCAGTGGTGTTGAATAGACGTCTGAGACTTTGTTTTACAAGAGTTCTGAGATTTTTTGACCTAAAACATTTTTAAAAATTCTTTCATGGCGGAGAGGCAAAATAATCCTGAAAGAAAAGTTATTTTTTCTGATTTTCTGCTACTTTACCATCATCAGCCTTACATTTAAAAACTCAGGAGACACGAGACAAGCGTAGGTTGCTGGTTTCGGGTCTCAAAGTCCCAGATTCGGGTCGAGTTTGGGCTTCAATTTCATGTCTGTGCAGACGTCTAACTCTCACACACACACACACACACACACACACACACACACACACAAGTATATCGCTGCTGTCGGAACAAAACCTCCTATCTCCAAAATGGTAACTTTACAGGAGAAGGAAAAAACATGCTCTACTTTTAATGCAAGTCAATGGAACCAGACGTTATTCCAAGTAATTTTGTATGTATTTTCAAATTATGTCAAAAACTGAAAAACGACAAAAATGGAGATACAAGGTTTTCTTTCGACAGCGGTGATATGATTACAAACTGTGGCACTGGGGATGGAGAGAGAAAGAGAGACAGAGAGAGAGAGAGAGAGAAGCAGCACTAATGGAGTGTCTTCTGCAGGACTGTAGTGTTTAGTAAATGTGCTCGTACATTCATATATGACCTCAGAGTATCATGTCTCAAACAATGCCTGTGTGTATGAAACCTCTCGGAGATCAACAGCTGATCTAGGATCATACAATCACTCTGTCACTGTCATTAGAAAATCTCCTTCTCTCTGCAATGGTCACTTTACAGGAGAGGAAACAACACTTTTTAACGTAACGTAATAAAAACATTCGAAACGTTTACTTATCCAATTTTCTGTCGGCCCATGATGAAATGTTCATGCACTAAAATGGGAAGCTGGTGTTTTCAAAATGGTGTAAAAAAATAGGTACAATAGAAATGAAATGTTCTTAATACAGTGATGAAATCCATTATGACATCACAAGGGGAATCATCCATTATGATATCACAAGAGGAATCATCCATTATGACATCACAAGGGGAATCATCCGTTATGACATCACAGGGGAACTATCCATTATGACGTAATGATATTTCTGAGCATAATGATTAACGACTTACAAGGTTTTCTTATGACAGTGATGAAACCCATTATGACATTACAGGCGAACCATCCATTATGATGCAATAATATGTCTGACCCTAATGATTAGGGGCTCATGAATATGATCCACAGACGAAGGCAGCTTGTTTTTGACTGTGTATAAATGTGCATGTGTGTATGTGAGAACAGTTTTTGAGCCCACAGTGCAATTTCATCTTCCATAAATGCTCACACAGTACGCCTTTTTCGGAGAGATTCCATCTGAGAGAGAGAGAGAGAGAGAGAGAGAGAGAGAAAGAGAGAGAGAGAGAGAGAGAGAGAGAGAGAGAGAGAGAGAGAGATCATTGTTCAAGTGAAAGGATACACAAAGCAAAAAAGGATAAACTATAAAAGATGTGTACATGTTTGTAAATACTTGCCCCAAAGAACCAACATTACATTTGTAAACTTACCTCAGCCTCTACCATTTTGAGCCTGCCCAGAGCATCTTTGGCTGCATCCTACAGAGAGAGAGGGAGAGATAGAGAGAGAGAGAGAGAAAGAAAGAAAGAAATGTGAAATATTCACATTTTGCCCACGCTTTTTCCTTTTTTACACAGATGTTTTCCTGAAAACAGCATTCATGTTTCTCTCCTTCAGTTGATTTATTCATGGTGGTATGTTCTATCATAGCAACTGTTGCTAGGTTGGTAAAAACGCCTTTCAATATCATAAGAAACTGTAGAACACAACTCAAAATGTCTAGATTTACAGTTTGTTATTTAAATTATTTTATATGATGTTTATATTTATTTATATTTGTATTATTTTTCAAATAATATTCATTTTGTATGCCTATGTGTGAGTCTGTGTGTGTGTGTGTGTGTGTGTGTGTATGTGTGTGTGTGTGTGTGTGGGTGTGTCACACTGTTAGAATAGACTGGGTGTATTTCTTTATCATGTAATCGCTAACATTATCAAATTCATCACTTTCAGCCTTTTTTCAGTAGTGTAGCATTTTGAAGTGTAAACTCAGTGTTCTATAGTAACACTGTAGTGGTTCAATGTGAATAATTTACATAACATGCCTTACAGTTCTTCTTTAGGCTGAAAGGGATTTTTCCTAATGTTCTGTAAAGCTTGCCCAACCTAGCAACAGATGCTAATAAAAGGGCTAATTTCTGGGTGGAGCTTTGATTGGTCAAATAGTCAGTCATGTTATCAAGTTAGGACATATTGTGGAATAAGTAATTGCGCAAGCCAAATTCTGTAGGCTGTGTCTTATAAAGAAAAGGCTTGTATGCATATTAAAGTAAATAAAAATACTCACTCTGTTGCCTTCATCAGAAAACTTCTTCACTGAGTCCCTGAGACCATTAGCAAACTTCCTCAACACACTGTCATACTCTGATAATGAGAGAGAGAGAGAGATAGGGGGAAGCCAAGAGAGACAGAGATGGAGCAGTTGAATTGGCACATTTGTATCAATGCAACGATACACTTTTATACCCCTAGAGTTTAGTATTAGCCCTGAAAATGCATATTTAAGCAGACCTGTTTGGCCACTGGATGTGTCTGTGTATGTATTACCTGCGAGGGCTGCTGATGATCCTCTCTCCAGGTAGGATTTCTGCCACTGCAGTCTGTGACACACCTCCTTATACTGGTTTATCAGATCTGGTGGTGGTTCACGTTTATTTTTATTATATTCTGCAATCTATGAAGGGAAAACAAAAGACTGACACAAGATGTACTCAATCGGAAGCGTAATGTATCTGTAATCTTCAGCAAAGGTTAATACAATGCTATAACTGTCACACAGGCGCGGATTACGAGTCTAATAAACACTCACCTTTCTCTGAAATCTCTCTTTGTCGTAGTTGAGGAGGCTGAAACTGTGGAGTCTGTACTGAGGAGGGGAGTGACTGAACAACAGAAAAAAGACCATATAAGTGTATGTAAGGACATAAGGCATGCGCCCAGCCTTCCTACCGGCTCTCGCGGCTGTCACTGGGGCCCGAATCCCAAACACCGCCGATGGACTCGAGTGACAGTGAAAGAGGACATCGGCCACCAGGGAGGGGACGACGACGATGACAACCATGTCTGTTAAAAGCACCTGAGCCGAGAGGGAACAAGAGGGGAGCACCCCTGTCTCCACCCCCACTCCGCAGCTCATCCACCCAGGTCAAACCTGAGGTGTAGTGAAGTGGCCTAGCTGTGGAACAGCCTTCGTGCCTCTTGTGGCTGTCATCATCGTCATCCCCTCTCTAGTGGCTGAAGTCCTCCCCCAGCAGTCACTTGTGTCCCTTGGCGGTGTTCGGGATTCTGGCCCCAAAGACGGCCGTATATATATATATATATATACATATACATATACACAAACACATACTGACCTGGGTTGACTGCTCTTTCCGTGGTCGTTTCGGGGTTTGGATTTAGGTGAAGGAGCCTATGGAACAGTAAGATACAATCCATATGTTTAACGTGTGTTCACGGCATCCTCTTCATTGCTTTACATGCAATATTGTCAAAGCAATATAATAAAACTATTGTAATAATTATATAATTATATATAATCAGGCAGTGCAATCATAGGGTTATTAAATAAAATGAGTATCATTAATTGAGGTAGAGTGTGAGAATGAATTTGTACCCTATTTCTCTCTCTTTCTTTCTCTCGGTGTCTCTCTTTGTCCGGTGTGATGGTGAGGGGGTCAAGGACGATCCATTTCTCCGTCACTGACTGGAGCTGAACTCCGCCCAGCGGCTCCCGAATCCTCACGCGAACTTCTAGCTTACCGCCCGTCGCCTTCCGCCCATCCAGCACCTATACACACACACACACACACACACACACACACACACACACACACACACAGGTCTGTTTTTATACAGTATCAGAACGCAGAATGCCATTGAAGAACATAGTAAAAGGGGGCTAACAACAAACCCCCTTCCAGTATTACAGTATAACTCCTCCTGTAATGCTTATTTGCACTACTGTACAAGTAAATGTGTTTATTTGTGTGTGTGTGTGTGTGTGTGTGTGTGTGTGCGTGTGCGTGTGTAAAACTCACCTCTATAATCTCTCTGATCTCACACTGATTCTCTAGCGCTTCCAGTTTCAGCTGAGCGTTTCCCACCACTTTATCTGTCTTAAACAGACCACTAAACACATACAGACACATTCATGTCACTTCAAAAACTGCTACAAACAGATGGACATCGTATGCAGTCATATGCAAAAATCTGAACTTATATATGAAAAAAATAAAACTATTAATAAAAATGTGCACAGGCCACATTTTAGGTTTTATTTTGTTTCCAACATGTTAAATCCAGCATATAAACAGAATAATAGAAATAACTGCAGCCTTCTCAGTATCAGTTTTGTAGAAGCTAATATCACTATTATGATTAACAAATGATACAGCGTGCAGCCCTTTGTTTCCACAGCAGGAACATCAGCAGATAACAGATAATGATCTGTATGAAAAGTGAGAGCTCACCCTTTATGTATGACCTCAAACTTGATTCCTTTGGTCTGCACCACTCTCTTAAAACCTCGATGAGTTCTGTTAATGTTCAGCTTAAACTGCTCCTTAAACTCTGAGAGAGCAAGAGACAGAGAGAATATACGACATGTAATATTTTTATATTTTTATTCATATTTTTATGTCATGACAATCTTCTTAAATTCATTTTTTACATTCAGTCGTTTGCAAAAGTTTGAACACTGATCAAATGACGTTTTGTTGATTTTCTCTGTGAAGATACGTTCACACATCCTCTACAGAGAACACACTGATGGCATTTATCTGCAAACTTTAGCGCACAAGTTCTATTTATTTGCCGAGTTTAACAAATAAAAAAAAAAAACTACATAAGATGTATGTATATAAAATAATATCACTTTTGAACAGGCCACATTTTATGCATTATTTTTTTTCACCAAGATGTTCAAGTCAGCAAATAAGCAGTAACTGTGTATTAAAATGTGCAGATGTGTTAAAACAGAGAAAATCAACAAAACAGGGTATTTGACCAGGGGCGCCCAAATTTTTGCACACAACTGTGCGCTGTGTACTCAAACTGTGAGAGTGTGTTCACTCATGAGCTGACGTACCTGGGCAGTTGGTGTTTTTCATAGTGCTGGTTTTGTCTCTCTGAGCTTCTTCCTGAATAATAATAATAACAATAATAATAAAAACAACAACAACAACAACAACAACAACAACAACAATAATAATAATAAAACACAGGTAACAAAACACAGCATGTTGTACGAGTGTGTTTGCATGTGTGTGAGTGAGAATGTGTGTGTGGCACACTGGCATCGAAAAAAAATGTCATTCCATGCACGCAGCCATGTAAAGGTTGCCGTTAGCGCTCCTGCAGGGAGACGGTGCTACACATCGATCCTGCATACAGTACTGTGGACAATCCACCCTTCATTTATTTCATTTCCAGTCAAAACAGCCATTAAGTACAAGTTATTCATCTTTCAGCAGGAAAAGAACTGAAATATATTCAAGAGAAAATTACACAGAAGCCTCAACAACTAAATATATAGATTTTTCAGTATTTAGTGAGTCACTCTTTACCTTTATTACAGCTTCTTTTCACACCTATTAAGTTCAGTCTTAGCTATTTGCACTTCTCACCATTCAAATAATCCCAAACACATTCAGTGATGTTGAGGTCTGGACTCTGGGGTGGTCAGTCCACTGTTCAGCTTCTTTGTTTGATGTGTCTCCTTTTCTCAGTAAGAGCTTCTTAACAGCTACACATCCTTTCAGACTCATAGTGCTGAGTGTCGCACAGTGGAAGGATGGACAGAAACTCCTGTGGATGTTTTCAGATCTGAGGCAGCTTGATTTTCTCCTCTCTCTCAAAGATGAAAGCTTTGTATAAAAATCTATTTAGGCTGTTTACATTGTTAAAAGCACAAATAGACGCTATTAAAGACAAAGAGAGGAAAAAAAACTTAGTATTGTATTGAGTTGTTGAGGCTTCTGTGTCATTTTCTGTTAAATATGTTTTCTGATGCTGAAAACTGAATAACCAAGTAAAAATATTTATTTGAATAATGTAAATTAAAACAATAAAATGAATGGCAGCTGTTGACTTCTGTTGAACGTCTGATGTTAATTTATACATTTTGTTTTTGTAAAAGGAGTGTCTGCTGAAGGGGATTTTTGTTTTTGCCATCATATCAAATCAGATAATTTGTGTGTATGTGTGCGAGCGGTTGTTACCGCGCTGGGGAAGGGAAACTCAAAGCGGACGCTGGCATCTAAATCATTAGCTGAAACTCCTGCAGAACACAGACAGAAAAAAACAAATATTCAAACAAACACTGTTTTCTCTCACTATATACACACCCACTGTCTTACACACACACACATACCTGGAGGCGTCGGCAGATTGATTCCTTTGACGATTGTCAGCACCATGTCGTTAGCAGTCAGGTTGGGGAAGATCCTAGTGCGCGTGAGAGAGAGAGAGAGAGAGAGAGAGAGAGAGAGAGAGAGAGAGAGAGAGAGAGAGATTAACTAATATATACACTACTGAAAAATATAATACAAAGTACTGTGCAAAAGGCTGAGATAACGATTACATTTTTCAATTTCCAGTCAAAACCCACTCAAAAGCCATTAAGAACAAGCTATTCATTCTGAGGCGATTAGATATAATCGAATCTATTTGCATAAGGAGGGAGAAAGTCCAAGCAAAATTAGCAGAAAAAAAAGTTTTCAAAACTTTTCCAAAACTGGAGTTTAAAAAAATTATTAAAAGCTACAAAGAAAATGAGACTCCTAACAAACCACAGGAAGACCTGGTAGATCAAAACTGTCCCCATCAGTTAAACAGCACACAGAGAAACTGAAAGTAAGTCTCGCGAGTGGAAGCTGAACGATATACGTGACACAACGTGTAGTGTGACCTTACTTGACTGAACTGAAGGTGCGTTCCTCCGTGTGGTAGCTCGGTACTGGAAGGCCTTTAGCGTGGGCTTTCTTCAGCGTATCAATGTTACTCATACACTCTTCCGCCAGCTTCTCAAACCTACATACACACACACAAAGTCAATGAAACAACTGTGCTGTGTACTGACTGTTCCCTAAAGAATCTAATTCTTTAGTTTTGTACTGCAGCTACAAGGCTAATGTAGCTAACAAGTAATGCAAACATTTACCCCATCAACTGAACTCCAACTGATGTCCTCAAAGTGACAGATTTTGTCATCTGTTTTGGGAAAAGACTCATAAACACTGTATTTGTGTCTATAAATCATTTTGAACTATCAAATACAACCAAATTTGGGGCACAACCTGTGATGTGCATCACCTCAATTCACTGTTAACCTATGCTCTCAACACAAACAGCAGGGGGCGCTCTGACCGCTTCCCCTCCCGATTATTAATATGAAATTTCCAGTACAAATAAACAACATTGTAGCCCACCTTGTAGTCTCAGCCACGTTCCCCATATGAGTGAACTGCTGAGAGAAGCCCAGACATTTCTGTACAGAAGCGTGAAGAACCCAATTAGCAACCACAGCAGCCACACTTTGTATTATACTGAAAAGCTACAGTGTCTTCATCAGTGTTACATTAGATTTATAAAAAACAACTGTATGGACATATTTTTTAGGAATATTTTATATTTATGAATTATTTATGAATAAAATAAGTGTAACAGACATGCAGGTGTTTCATGAGTGTGCCATAACCAACCTCGTGCTGCTGTTTGAGGAGATCCATGAGCTGAGCGTACTGCTGGGCCGAGCGAGGAGAAAGAGGAGAGGAGCGAGAACGAGAGAGAGCGTAGTCCTCCTCACTGACCGGGGCAGCGGGCACCTAGAGAGAGAGAGAGAGAGAGAGAGAGAGGGGAAGAAAACAGGATGAATAAGAAAGATAGAAATATAGCAAAGTAATGAAATCAGACAGACACTCTGATATGAAAAAAATGATCTAATCATTTTTAAATTGTGTTATCTAAAAGGCTGATTCTGGTTAGGCATCTGTATTGTCCTAGTAAATAATGAATGAAGATAGCATAGCTAGCTACCTGAGCTTTACTTCTAATATGCTACTGGTAACATAGTTAACGTCAGTGCTAGCTCTGTCTAGCTTAGCGAAGTCAGAGCTGATTTAAAGGGAGTCTGGCCTCTTCCTATTTCCCCCGTTATATCAATGACTGCAAAACACCAGAGGGCACCCGTGAGCGAGTCCTCGATGAAAGGGGGTGAATGAAGCTAAACGGAAAGTTAAAATAGAAAGTAGAAAGATGTATATTTTACTAAAAAAGCAAAGCAAACTCACCTATATGTTTCTTTTTTTTCTACTGCAAACACGTTTTGGGCGAACGGAGCAGCTCATTGGCTGTTCGTGCTCACTGACGTCATGAACGTAGATGAACGCCGTTTTAAACTCCTATAACTCAAGTTTAAAAGCTCTTAAAAATATAACAGCAGTGTTAAAATGTTTTATGTTGTTCTGTGTTCATTATTTCACATTAAAAATGTTTAAGCATTTATAAACTATGATTTTGCTCAAATGCATCATCCTAACCCATTCTTTTTGGACTCGCTCGGGAGCGCCCTCTAGCATTTGAGAAACCCAGAAGACATTACAGAGTGGTAATAATAAAAGTTCTCTGGCGAGGTCCCTAAGCTAGCTAGATAAGCTATCTACATGCCTATTATTTACTATGCTATTGGTAACTTGGCTAATGTTAATGCTAACGTTGCAGCTGTTAGGACAGTGTAACTCTGTGATTCAGCCGCCCGTGTTATGTCACTGGACGACCACCTTTGCAGAGAACAGGGGTTGTTAGTGTTGCTATTTAAGGATGCTTTGCTCACATCCAGAGCCACACACCTTGCTGATGTCCACTGGCAGGCCTGCTTTAGCGGCAGTGATCATTTGGTCCAGGCCCTTTGCGTTGCGGAGATGCTGAGCAGCTCCCTGAACGTCCTTCATCTGTTTGGAGCGCAGAGCTGCCTTTACAAACTGCTGCCGCCGGCTCTGCAGGAAGTCCAGCTGCTGCTGGGCTGCACACACACATACAAATACACAGACATTCAAAGACATATAAAAATAAAATAAACTGACTTAATGCAACCTAAAAACAACTGCAAACGAATATGGTAGGATTACAAATACTAAGGTCAGTGTACTACTAAGGTCCTGCTAAGGTACGGTGTTCTGAGAGTGTACATGCAGTAACACTGATACTACAAACACAAGATCAATAATTGCAAACAGTTGCACACAAAAGTTTGGGCAAATTATATTATTCTGTTGAATTCTGAAGTGAAAAAACAGCCTCTTCAGCAATAAAAAAACACTTTTTTCTGCAAGTTTTAAAGCACAGCTGCTCTCATGTTTGATTAATCTAAAAAAATTGCTTAAAAATAAACTAAAATCAATAAATAAATAGTTTTAGATTTAGTTTATGGTGGATTTTGACATATCACTGTGCTGTCAGAAGAAAACCTCATCTCCATTTTTGTCGTTTTTCAGTTTTTGACATAATTTGAAAACACCTGTTGTCCTTTACATTGTGTGTAAATTTCATGAAGAATGGACTAAAAGAAACGGCCCAAAATTTCTTGGAAAAAACTCTGGTTCCACTGACTTACATTAAAAGTAAAGTAGGTTTTTTTTCATTCTCCTGTAAAGTTCTGATTTTGGAGATATGAGGTTTTCTTCCAACAACAGTGATATGTTTAGATCATTGTTCTGCTGTTCAAGCCAACCTCTTCTCAATTTCAGTTTCTTGACTGTGACATCTGTTTCCAGAATTCGCTGATATTTAGTCTCATCTATTCTTCCAGCTACCTGGCTGCCACTCAACCGCACAACAGATCCACTTCCAGGCTTTAGAGTTCGTGTTCTTTTCAACAAATACTGTTTTTTTTTCTCCAAACATACTTTTGGTGATTGTCACCAAAAAGCTCCACTTTACTACATCAGTTCACAGCATGCGTTTCCAAAGTGCCTCTGGTTTATCTAGATGTTGTTTTGTATAATTCAAACACTGACTTTTGTGATGAGCTCACAAGTTCGATGTCTTTCTGATGACTCTACCAGGCAGATCATGTCTGTGCAACACTGTACTGTTGAACAGCATTGGGTAGTAGTGGGTAGAACAGTGCACCACCACTCCTGTGTCAGTTAAAGCTTCCTACAGGCCCTTTGCTGTCATATGAGGGTTTTGCTTTGCATTTTTGTCCAGCATATGAGCAGCTCCATCTAAGAGTTTCCTTGGTCTTCCAGATCTTGTCAGTTCCCCTTAACTGCCATTTCTTAATGATATTTCAGACAGTAGGAATAGCAAGCTGGAAGCACTTTGATATCTTTTAACAGGCTCAATTAATTAGCTTCATTTTCAGATCCTCAGCCAGCTGCTTAGAGAAGCCCATGGCCGACTGTTAGCAGATTTGAAGAGTCATAGAATTTAATATGCTCTGGAATTGTCAGATGAAAATTCCTAACGACAATTAGCCTGCCTAACCAGCCTTAATGAGTCAATGAAGGCCTAACAAGTTAAAGTTTTAACTTTTTAAGCTAACAAGCAAACATAAAGCTGTAAAATAACATTTTCCTACAAATGTTGCATTTTGTTTTTAAATTGTTTGCTGCAGAGGTTGTGTTTATGTATTTCTGTAAAACTTTTGTAATTTGGCCACAGTTGCACTAAAGCCTGCACACAACTGTAAACAAGTCAACTTTGCTCTATATAAATTATTTACCTTCTTCTAGAAGTATTAGTCAGTTATTTATTGTAACATTATTATTCAACATCTCTTATGAAGGTAATATGTAATTTATGTAGTTAAGAGAATATAAGTAATTTAAGAGAAGATGCACATTCAGTTACTTAAGCAGTGTTTTTATGTTGGTGTAAAAAAAAAAAAAGTTCCATGTTTCATAGCACTACGCAACCGATGGTGGCATGCAGCCACGGACTGTCACCACAGTGACAATGGGTGATTACCAGAGGAGAGCTATAGCAGCGTCGATTGTTTATTTAAGGTGTATAACGGGAGGAGGACGCTCTGCGCTCTTTTAATGTTGTTGTTGTATAAATACTGGATCCATGACGACTTCAACAATGAGATGTCCGCCACCCATGACTTAAAACACCATCCGGTTTGTTTCACTGCCATGGTAAACGGCAAAAACAAGGAAAGCTGAACTCTTGATGGACTGTTCTGATGCTGCTTAACTGAAACCAATGGATGGTCCAGTTTTCCACCAGCCATCTACCATCACAGTGTAAGTGCAGCATTACAGCTTAACAGCTAACAGCAATCAACTTTTACCTGTACTTGATCTGTAAGGAACTGCAATCTGTCTCTCTCACACATCTGCACACGCACCTTTGGGTCCCAGTTTAAGAGCGCCAGTTGAGGCTGTAGGGGTCACTGCAGGTGAGGAAGACTGTGGGGGGGCTGGAGCTCGAGCTTTCTGAACGGCTGGACGCGCAGCCGGCTGGAATGGAAACATAAATATCACAAAACATGATAAGAATTGCATAAATATGCACCCAAAGCTAAATACGAGCTCGTCCTGATCCGAAAGATAAAAAACAAAACAAACAAACAAAAAACACACTGAATGTAGTCGATCGGTCCTGTTTGGTGTCTGAAGTTCCCATCTTTATATCTGCACTAAGGCTAAAGTAGCTAACAAGAAATTCCAATGATCCACCAAATAATCATCAAACACTTGTCTCGAACTGTGTAGTGTTGTTTAGTAATTAGTAGCAGTCTTGCTTATGAGGTTTCTGATACCGTACAGCATGCTGTTACCTATAAACATAGAGAAAAGTACATTAGCATAGCTAAAAACAGTAGCAGCTGTGTTGAAGCTTGAATTAATCTGATCAAATACATTTTGGGGAAATTATATAAATAGGTTTTTTGCTGAATTATCGCTTGAAAGCCATAAAAGAAATCAATTGCAGTTTCATATGAAAACTCTCTGCAATGTGGACGTTTACCTTCGCCACTCCCTCATCTTCATCCTCATCCTCTGCGTCCGCGTCCTGATTGGCCAGTTTCACAGCCGTTTCCAGGACGCCCATAAAGTTTTGCTCGCCGCTTTCAGAACCCTGCAGAGGAGGACAGCCTGAAACAAGTAAGAACACACATGATCACACATCATACACAGACATCACCACACACAACATTCTGTGCTTAAAAGTAGTCTTGAGACACTCTCTGAACACAATTCATGCTTTGTTTATTTATTACTTTCTAAGCTGAAGTTATCAGAAAAGTTATTACCAGGTTTACTAACTGTGGGACAAGCATTAGTGTCTCTGTCCTTTACGCAGGTCAGGATTTAGCATTTTATTTGGGCTAGTTTTGTGTTGCATATCTCCTTTTTTGCATGACAGCTTGAAGTGTTCTAGACACGAAGTGCGTGAGTTTGCACAGCTGATGCTCAGCCAGGTTTGTTGGATGTTCTCTTTTGGATGGTCAGAGTGTGGAGGACGTCCTTCTAGCTCTTCAGTACATTTTTCACTCTTGATTTTGGAGTTTTCAGTGCATCTATAATCTTATAATCTCTCAGACATTTTATTATCAAGAGACAACTTTTAAGATGAATTCAGATTAATTCAACTCCATATTTTTCTTAGTTTTCTAACTTTCTCTATTTTTAAAAATGTTAATGATGTCTAGAGTCAGGTGTGTCAGATACGTTGGTTGTCTCTGGTTTGAACACTTTTCTATAATGTTAATGCTAAGGCTGGGCGTCACTACACGACTTCTAAAATCTTAATAGATGTCTAAAACGGAGAGCATCACAAACTTTGTGCCAGTTTCTCACAGAATTTATTGTCTTTTTGTTGTGAGGCCGCTCAAACTAGACAACAAGGCAAAGAGAGAATATTACACTCATAACGAGTTTGGGCTACGAATAAGAACTCAAACTCCCAGATCACCTCAGAGATCACATGACTCAAAGCTAAACATACTGGACCTGTTTGTGCTCCTATGTGTAGTGTCTGCCCAGCCTAAGTTGGACTGACTGATAAGTCATACTACAGCTTAAAAGGTAAACCACAATTTCAACAATACATGAGCAAATTAAACAATTCTATAAAAACAAACGATGATAGAAGGACTTCATTTGTACACATTACAGCTGCACAATTGATTGTAATTTTTTTGGTATCGTAATTTGAGATCTAAGGATAAACCCATCGTTAATAGATGCAATGACGGAACATGTGCGGCATCAAAGTGATGTAATACTGTCATCGTGATATCCGCCAGCTTTACCACACATCACATTTTAGGTGGTATGTCCACGTTGTGCAGCCCGAACACACACAGGTGAGGCGTTACCTGGTGGAACAGGGAGTTCTGCCAGATTGACAGGGCGTCCGGCCTTGTGAGCTCTGATGGCATCTTGGTATTGCTGGATTCACACACACACACACACACACACACAAAGCAGACAGAAAGCAGAAAAACAGCACATCATACACAGAACATACACACACATTACATACAGTCTATAATGGTGCTTCATCAAAAAGAATCAAATATTCACAAATGTTTGTATTTTCTAATCATTAAGTTTTTTTTTAGTGGAATGTTTGTTCTGCTCATGTCTGGTGCTGCTGGGTCCTTACAGCGAGGGAAAGTGTTGAACAGCGCCATCTGCTGGTTGCACTCAAATTCATTTTAATTCATAGAGAAATTTCTGATTGAGGGTCAAAAATCCTGTAACTTTTAAGAAACTGCCATTTAGCTATAAATCCAACAGCAGAACCTTGAAATACAACTACAAAACCTATGACTCAGTGCTAACGTCGCTTTGTATGACGTATGATGATGCCATCAAAACGTCAGATTTTGTAGTCCATTTGTGGGGAAAAGCTAGTAAAAACTGTATTTCTGTCTTTTGCTGTCAGTTGAGGTTAAAGCACGCTAATGACTTAACTGAATATAACTGAATACAGGGGCAGCCTGGCACGTTATGTTGTATGACGCGTAACGTTCATCTCCTCCAATTCATAGTAAACTTGCATCAAAGACAGACAGAGGCTGTGACCACTTACCTCCGTTATTACTGCTTTACGTGATTATGTGGGTTACCTTGACGATGCGCTGGTGCATGCGTGCTTTGCGGTCATCTCCTTTGCTCTTGGCCGTCTCGGATGCGTTCTTGTATATGTCCATGCGCTGCTGCAGGGCCTCGCCAAGGTTACGGGGAGCAGGAAGAGCTAGAACACGCGCAGTGTGGAGTTATCACTACTAGACTTCTACTAGGTAATAATTTGAAACAAACAGCCAAAAAAACAATATACAGTACTGTGAAAAAGGCACCTAAGCACACTGTTTGAAAGCATTTATCTCAGTAATAAGTGTGTTTTTGCCAGATAGACACTGCATAACCTCGGAACATGACTGTGTTATTAGTGAAGTTAGTAAAATATTTTTCAGGAGAACATAGGTTTGGCTTCTGTCATCTCACTGCACTCCAGACATGGCATGAATTTGTTAATTTAATGAGGGGTTGAGTAGATAAACTGAGGTTGAATGGTAACTGTTGGTAATTGTACTGATGTTATCTGTATTCATTCTAAAACAGCACTTACGGGCATTAGCAGCTGGAGAATCAGAGGGTGGAGGAGCAGCGGCTGGTTTAGTGGATGACACCAGAAGAGGTGGTGGAGGAAGAGATCTCTCAACTATGACATCTCCTGAGAGAGAAAGAGAAACAGAACATAAAAGAGAATTCTGTCACTATCATATGAAAACCATGTAAGAAAAACCCATTTACAATGTATAACATACAAAGCCATCATGTATAGTAGCCCCACTTAGGCCTGAGTGACATGTAATCTTAATAACTGACCAGGAGGGGGAGGTAATGAAGTGGTGTCTATCGGCTCCCCTCTGTCAACTGCCTCCACCACCGAGTCCAGTTTCTGCCAGAGAGGGACACAGTGTGTTTGAGAGAAAAGCTGGTCAGAGTACACAGTAGAAGTGGGTAATACAGCATCATTCACCACTGTCATGCCAAATTACATCACATTATATCACAACATTCTTTTCTGAGCGTATTGTGGATACTGCCTGTATTTAAAGAACATAAGAACAAAGTTATAGTATTACTCATAGCATTCAGAGTTTATAGTTTTTTTTTTACTGTGGCTCTTCTGTTCCAACGTATTAGGTTTCAGAAGAACTAAATATCAAGATGGAGATCATTAAAAATGTCCTGAAGTATCGTGATGACACATCGTTCACCCCAGGACACGGTACTCTCAAAGATCATCAAGCTGCTCGATCAAAGCTTTACTGCGGAGTCCATACATTACTAAGAAGCACGATTAGCTACTCATACAATGATAAAAATAGTGTGTTTTAGGCCCAGTCCCATTTCACCCCTCGCCCCTACCACTCAGCCCTTAGCCCTCCGTTTTGTGCGTTCACGTCTAAGGGTAGGGTGTCCTGATTTTTCTTCAGATAGAGGGGTAGGGCGAAGTGTTAGGGCTACACGGCCCTCCAAACAAGGTTTTTCAGAGGCTCCAAACAGAGCTATGAGAAAAAAAAACTGGCAAGATGGCTGAACAAGAGACCAAAGAAACCCAGAAATGTGAGAATTTTTTCCATTAAAAATTACAATAACCACTGTATTATCTTAGTTTAATGTCGTTTCAATGTAGTTTGGTCCTTTTTTTCATAACAAGCATAAAAAAAAAAAAATCGCTAAAAGTATGCTAATGTCTCGGTAGCTAGCTAGTTAAATTTCCCGTTCCACCTTAAATAGTCAGCGGTTCTGATGCTGGATGGACCAGAATATAACTGCTGCACCATTTAAGGTGGAATGGGAAAATTCAAACAAGAAACAGGCGAATATCTGACTTCAGCTTCATATCACTGAAGAATTAGGGGTGGGTGATAATAAATAATCGCCCCCCTCTTTGAAGGCATATGATGCCCTAAATGTAACTAAAGCCCAGCAGTGAGGTGTTGAACTTTACCCTCCTCTGCTGTCACTGCAGACTGGCAGGGTCGCCTACAGAGCAGGGTCTCATTTCATAGGGGAAGATTCAACTACTACCCGTTGTACCTCAGTTCCAGGGGGCAAGGTGACACTCAAAAACAAGGGGTAGGGGTAAACATAAGAAATGCGATTGGGTCTTGAAGTGTTGATGGTTACCTTGGCAATGAGGTAGTGCTGTTTGGCCAGTTCTGTGTCTCCGCTCTGTTTGGCCTGAATAGCGGCCAGTTTATACTCTCTCTGTCTGCTCAGTACACTCGCCTTCAGCTCTGAAACACATTTAAAATTCATTATTTAGATCCACAATTTAAAACACACAATAAAAAGGCACAAATCTAACCAATCATGAAGAAACGGTACAATCATGAAGAGATGTAAATCAGTTGTTTTTCATTTTTGTAAAAAAGGAAACTCCTAGTGACCCAGTCGTCTATATACAAGACTAAGGCATTTATTTTCAGTTTAAATGGAACACTAAGTACAGCTAGAAGTGCAAGTGAAGAATCAAAAGTTTCCAAAACTGGAGGTCAAAAAATGAATAAAAGCTACAGAGAAAATGGGACTCCTAACAACTGTGCAAGACCCGGTAACCCACAACTGTCCCCATCAGATAAACACTACTTCAAGCTTTCATCACTGAGAGAGAGGAGAACATCAACTCTGTGTAGCTGGTTTATATCTGAATGCACAGTGTTGAGTTGCCTGGGGGAAATGGTGGCGTAGCTGGTTTGTACCTGAACGCTGGACGTTTATGGTGGCGTAGCTGGTTTGTACCTGAACGCTGGACGTTTATGGTGGCGTAGCTGGTTTGTACCTGAATGCTGGACGTTTATGGTGACGTAGCTGGTTTGTACCTGAATGCTGGACGTTTATGGTGACGTAGCTGGTTTGTACCTGAATGCTGGACGTTTACGGTGACGCAGCTGGTTTGTACCTGAATGCTGGACGTTTACGGTGACGCAGCTGGTTTGTACCTGAATGCTGGGCGTTTATGGCAATGTAGCTGGTTTGTACCTGAATGCTGGACGTTTATGGCGACGTAGCTGGTTTGTACCTGAATGCTGGATGTTTATGGCAATGTAGCTGGTTTGTACCTGAATGCTGGACGTTTACGGTGACGCAGCTGGTTTGTACCTGAATGCTGGACGTTTACGGTGACGCAGCTGGTTTGTACCTGAATGCTGGGCGTTCGGTTGGCTGGGGGTTAAAGGTGATATAGCTGGTGTATCTGGTGTTCTAGCCACTGGTTTCTGATTGGGTGGCTGTAGGAGCTGAGGTTTGGGTGGGGCTACTGGTCTTGTTTCCTGCTGTGGCTTCTGATTGTTTGGCAGCGGTGGTGTGTATTCTGGGGCTGGCTGTTCTTGTTCTCTGACTGGTTCCGTCTGTGACCCGGGCGTGGGCTTGCCGCCAGTGGCAACAGGGGGTGGGATTTCCTCCTCATTGATAGGTTTTCCCTTTTTCACAGAAGTCAGCATCGACTGTAGTGTCTAAAGTGACAAAACGACACACATTAATAGGTTAATGGGGGGGTGGCCTGGAATGCTAATATGGCTTACCTTGAATGGAATCCAGCTGTATGCTAATGTTCATTTGCTATTTGTGGTCAATTTTTTTGTTTAACTTGTAAACATCATTAAAGTGCTGACACAGTCAATCATAAGCACTGGGTTATTAAAGGGCAACACTGACTGTTCATAATTTCTGCATGATTTAGATGAATACAAAGTAATTCAGAGTGGTTTGATATGAAATGCTCCACTCTAAAGCAACCAAGAACAATTTACAGTGGTGGTGATGGGAACCAAATGTCTGTAAAAGTTCCCTTTACAAGAAATGGTTATGAATATGCTGCTTGATGTCTGAGACATTGTTTTACTACGGTTTTGAGAAGGTTTTGGTCTTTTTAAAATCTATTCACGGTACAGAAACACATGCAGAGTGTTGTAAGACGATAATTTGTACATTTGAAGTTACATAACTTCTCTATACTGCAGAGACACTGTGTGAGATACTTTGCATTGGATTTTAAGCCTATTGGTCTACCTTTAGTCCTCGATCATATCTACGAACTTTGCTGGTCTCCCCTGCTGCTCTGGCATTAGTAATGGCTGTCTGGTACATTTCAAGGCGTTCCTGCAGGCGGGACTCCAGCCCAGCCGGACCACTTGGGGTAGTGGGGGTGGATTTGGGTGGTACATTAGAGTGCTGAGTAGGGACGGGAGGAGGCACTTTTTTAGTGATAACGTCCTCTTCATCATCCTCCAATACTTCATTCAGCTCGGCCTAATACAAATCACAGAATGGTCAGTTATGTTAAATAACAGCATTTAAAATGTTTTAACAGACATTTTCTAATTCAGCGTTTCCCAGCTCCCAGAAAACCCCCCCAAAAATCTTTTTTCTTATTATTCAGATTATAAATGATCTAGTAACTGGCTGTTGTGCTGGTCCTGTGTTGTGCTGTGAAACTCCAACAAGATGACACAATATATTTGTTTGTTAATCATTATTGTGATATTGTTATATACAGAAATACATTACCAGCAGATCAGCATCATTCTCCAGGTCTCCGTCTTCATCTCCATCCTCGTCCAGGTCCTTCATACACAGAGAGGCCATGCGCTCAATGTCCTCCATGGGCACCGGAGCTACCGAGAGATACCAAAACCAGTCAGATTCACTTTTGCATGATCATTTTCCAAACTCTTTGTATCCCTTAGAATTGAGCAGGCTGTTTCTGTTACTGTGCCTTTAAGACTTATATATGTAAATGAGCTCCGTTTTGATTGAGTGCCCTGTATTGTGCTTCATTAAAAAAGAGTCTGGGCTAAAATATTCCTTATAACTTCAGCGTGAGTGGGCGAGGCTAATCTGCTGTAGGCTGAATAGGTGGGCGTATGTAAATGTGCTGGCTTTCGTGACACAGTTCCACAGTTCCAGGCTGTTTTTCCCTCATGTATGGACTGTCAGTACAGCTTTTATTTAAAAATGTGGGGAAAACAGGCTTTAGAAACTGAATAACAGAGAGTGCTCAGCATTTGCACAACGTTGGTGTCTTGTATTAAAGTACACGATTCTTACCTTTGCCACCTCCTTTCTTTCCAGGTGGGCCGCCTCCTCCGCCTATCAAAGCAAGAAGCTCCGCCTCTAACTCCTCCTCATTTCCCCCAGAGTCATCCAGGCCACCATCTGGAGACAGATCGAGGAGCAATCCCATCTGAGAGAGAGCGAGAGAGAGCGAGATATAAACACTGGTGAGAATGTCATCCTTTAAAGGACTGACAAAGGAAGTGAGCTTGTACACGCCACCCATGACGATCCAGTCAGGCAGAATGAACAACATTTACACACACTGGACACTTTCAGAAAGAATCTGATGTATAATTGCATTAGGTCCAAATGAATCAGCCAGCAGTGAGAGATCAGGAGACTGCAAGGAGGACACAGCACAGCTAGGGGTGTAAGATGATGTTCTATACTATCATAATTTATTACATCGTAACGTCAGTCCTTCTAGAATACCGCTTTAATCTAGAACGCTGCTACAATCTAGAATACCACACTTTAGAACACAGCTATAGCTGCAACCTAAATGTTAAGAAGAGCCATTTTGTCCTTTCAACAAAAATGAAACCATCTTGGCTGTAAATATGTATTAGTATGTGCTAATGTGATAGTGTAGGCTAACAAATATAATATAAACAAAAACGCAAACTTACTTTGCTCTGCTTTTTAACTTTAGCTCAGCACTAGCCGCTTTTCTCACATCTCTAGCAGGAAACTTTCATCTTCTCACTGTCCAGATTCTTATTCGAATTTTCCCGTTCCACCTTAAATGGCGCCAGAATGTAACTGCTGCGCTATATAAGGTGGAACGGGACAATCAGAACGAGAAACTTCAGCTTCGTGACTTTTTAGTGTTGTCATTTTATCTCTAACTGATCAATATCCGTCTTAAATCTTTCTCTTTGCCTTTTCGTTGCTACGATCTAGGTGATATTCTTCTCTGCGTTGCTATGTGACCAGCAGTCTACACACCAACCTTCAGGGTTAAAGGGTGAATTAGCTGTTACACATTAACTCCAGCATTTAAGAGCATTTATTGTTGAAACTGTGTTGAACGAACAGCAGAGCTTTATTTTTCTGATGGATTTTACTGATATTAAGACATTTTATATGGCAATAGGCTTTTCTGGGTATGGCTTTGTCTGAAACTGAAAGCAGCTTTTTAGATGCCTTGCTGCCTGTGCTGTCTTACAAGTCAGTGCCTTAGAAGGCAGGGTTCTCCACTGTGTAAGTGATGGTGTTTTCTGCTATTTTTTTCTTCACAAAGGATGATGGGATATGCAAGGCAGTAAAGAATACATCTACACTGCCTTAAAAAAAACTGGCTGAACAGAGGAACCTCAGCAGCGTTATAAACTAGGGCTGGGCAATTTGACAATATATATTGTTACTGTGATCAATTATGTCACAGTACAACACAATATGCTTTTCTGAAGAACACTGACCAGCTGCATGTTTCATTATAAAGAGGGCTAAATTAGACCCATTTAACTGGATTTAGTGCAACACAGTGAGGCAAACACTGAACAAAAATCACCATATTCACTGTGTTTGGTAGTATTTTTTAAAATGTAGCACTACTGGTTCTTTTTGCTCTGTTCCAGCTAATCAGATGTCTGAAAAAATAAATATCATGACATATCATTTATCATAAAAAAAAATCCTGAACTGTTGCAATATTATATTTTTGCCATATTGCCCACCTTTATTATAAACAAGCATAGGATTCGGACATGACTGGGTGCCTTGATGCCTCAGAATACTGTCTGAGTAGGCAGCATTTATTATGTTTCAGACACATCCTATGAGTATCATCAGTACCTCTTGAACACAGCTTTAGCCCTTTTTAACCGCTATTTGCAGGCAATGATGTAGGTCACTTCTAGCCTTTATAACTCCAGAACGGTTTAAGCTACAGACATGATACACATATCAGACCATTCAGCAGACCCAGCCCAAACTAGCTAGTGTGATGTCACAGAGTTGTGACGTCAGCATTAATGAGTAATTCCGCTCGGAAAATTACCCAAAATCCTGTTATTATTCCTCTGCTCTGTGGTCTTCATATTCCAACTATGGGTTAAAACAGAGACATGATTCACACATCAGATCACTCATCAGACTCTGCCCTCACATCCAGAGTGATTCATCCACCTGTGACCATCCAACAGCCAGCAATCCAGCTCCAAAATCACCCAAACACCACTCGCTACTGTTATATTACATCTCTGCTTTTAGTCTTCATATTATAAACAAAAGGTTAAAAATAGCGACATGACTCATGAACACTCAGAGGAACCTGCCATCACCAGGCAGAGTGAAAGAAACCAGCTCTAACGTACCACAACAGAAATACAGCACAAACACACAGCCAGATCACTGTAAAACCCACTATTAGCTCTCTGCCTTAGCCTTCATATGGCAACCAAAGGGTTAATATAAAATACCCCCTTCGCTTAATCCTAGAGCTGCACTGTAGAACACGGCTACATATCAAGAAACGTTGCATCACAATAGGCTTTTCTGAGTATGAGTATTGTCAGTCCCTCTAGAGCACTGCTTTATTCTAAAACACTGCTACACTGTAGAACATGGCTTGATATGACGATACATTATGTCAATATGCTATTACGAGTATATCATGAGTATTGTCAGTACTTCTAGAACACTGCTTTATTGTCGAAAAAGTGCTTTATTCTAGAACTCTGTCTCATTCTAGAAAACGGACTCGTTCTAAAAATGGCTATAGCTTGATCCTAAAACAAGTCTGTGTTCTAGAACACAGCTTCATGTCATGATACCTTACATCACAGCGTATGAGTGTTGTCAGCACTTCTATAACACTGCTGTATTGCCGAAAAGTGCTTTATTCTAGAACTCTGGTACGTTAATCCTAGAACATGGCTGTATGTCATGATACCTCACATCACAATATGGTTTTCTGAGTATGAGTAGCATCAGTACTTCTAGAACACCACTTCATTCTAGATCACTGCCAAAGCTTCACTGTCTACCATAGCTGCATTTGAGAATACTGTTATTTTAGAACACAACTTCATATAGTGATACACCACAACATGCTTTACTAAGTATGTGGGCATCATCGGTACTTCTGGAACTCTGCTATGTTCTAGAACACTGCTACATTGCAGAACACTGTTTCAAGATCACTGCTTCGTCCTGAAACGTGGCTTCATTCTAGAACACTAAACACTTTTTTATGAAAATGTATCATAAAAAGACTTAGATTAATTACAGTAAGCCTGTAAACAACAACAACCTGTGAAGAGTGACTACAAAACAGCAAGTAGCTGATTGGCTGGCAGCCCCAACACAACATCATCTTGTTTTGTTTTGCATTAATTTTTACCAGTAGTTTGATTTTTACTCCTGTTCTTTCTTAAATATTCTCGTTTTGTAAATCTCTGTACTCAACATTTGTTTTCCAAAAAAAAGTAAATAAAAAAAGTGTATTGTGAAAATGTTCAGCCATACTGCCCACCCTTAAGCCCACTCTTTCCCAGGCCTTACCTGTTTGGCCCGGGCGGCTCCTTGGCCTTTTTGTGGAGGGTTCCGACTACGACTCATTATGGCTGCAGTGACCTCAGAGCTGAAACACAAGCAGAAAAGCTGTTCAACCTTTAAAACATTACCAAAGGAAGTTAACAGGATGTGCTCATGCATGACATCCCAGTCAAGCAGACAGAAAGACGGTTACACGCCCAAAGAGCCGATCAACAGACACGTCACAGACGGCATACGAATGATGTAATGAAGCAAAGTGTTCGGCAAATTCTTAACATCCATATCACCTACAAAACATGAGGTTAATTGAAGAGCACCAACCACATCCAGGTAGTAGTGCAGCCTGGTATACACAGGTCTCTCTATTCATCATTTACCTTATGGATTTACTAAAACGCTGCATATCAGGGAGGTGACAATACAGCTGTATCGTACATGTTAGCTTGTGGCTAGAATGGGACACTATAAAGCACATCTTTAGTTTCAAACATTGTACTATTATAATGCTGAACGCTCTGATAAACTGAACTGTATAAATCTGAGGCACATTTTCAGCCACTCCTTATTTTTGCTGTATGAAAACATGTATTGAATTAAGACATCACTGTGTAGTATCAAATCAAATGCTGAATTTTTACACCCTTACTGCGAATCCTAGTTGTCTGGAGACATTCAACAGCACTAGCAGGTCGGGCTGTAACAGCACGCATCTAAGCTGCTTATCCTTCTGGGTCACAGGGGGTGCTGGAGCCTATCCCAGCAGTCACTGGGCAGAAGGCAATCCATCATACTCCATTCACAATCACACACACATTTTAGTTTAGTATCTCCAACTGGCCTGACTGCATGTCTTTAGACCGTGGGAGGTAACCCACACAGACACGGGGAGAACATGTGACGACAGGACCTGGTCACCCGGTCGGGGAATCAAACAAGGAAATGTAAAACTGCATCACTGCTAAGCCCTTGCTCTCTTCTGAGCATTCCTCCTTTACATCCTATTAGAATATCATTCCCCTTCTACTACAGCAAAGCGGGTGGGGAGGGGTGGGGCTTATACTATGGACGCCCCAACAATAAAATGACTTGCTGTTTTTTCGAAAAAATTCTATTTGTAAACTATCCTGTCCATTTTATCAGCTCCACTTACTATATAGGTGCACTCTGTAGTCGAGTGGATCAGACACAGCAGTGCTGCTGGAGTTTTAAACACTGTGTCCACTCACTGTCCACTCTATTACCTTGTCGGTCCACCTTGTAGATGTAAAGTCAGAGATGATAGCTCATCTGCTGCTGCACAGTTTGTGCTGGTCATCCTCTAGTCCTTCATCAGTGGTCACAGGACGCTGCCCACAGGACGCTGTTGGCTGGATATTTTTGGTTGGTGGACTATTCTCAGTCCAGCAGTGACACTGAGGTGTTTAAAAACTCCAGCAGCACTGCTGTGTCTGATCCACTCAGACCAGCACAACACACACTAACACACCACCACCACGTCAGTGTTGCTGCAGCGCTGAGAATGATCCACCACCCAAATAGTACCTGCTCTGTGAGGGTCCATGGGGGTCCTGACCACTGAAGAACAGGGTAAAAGGGGGCTAACAAAGTATCAGAGAAACAGATGGACTACAGTCTGTAACTGTAGAACTACAAAGTGCACCTATATAGTAAGTGGAGCTGATAAAATGGACAATGAGCGTAAAAACAAGGAGGTGGTCATAATGTTATGCCTGATCGGTGGATGTTGATTGTGAACAGCACTTAGATGAGTCAGACCAATCAAAAGGAACTATATGCTGTGTATATGACAACACAGCCACAACTATTTGCCAGTCTGCCACAGTATATTCAGTATTCAAGCCTCAAGCCAGAAAAAGTGGATTTTCTGGTCATGTTGGCCAAAATAACAGGCCTGGTCCTTGATTTATAGAAAACAACTGCAATTCAAAATAACAGTCACAATATTGATCAGACCAAAATCACAGTTAGGTACTCCCCAGATTAAATCTAGAGCCACCCCTAATAAAAGCTGTGTGATAGAATATTACATGACGAGATAAATAACATATTAAATGCTAGTTTTAGGCCAAAATGCCCCTTTAATGTTCTCCAACTCCACGTCTGCAGTCCACCTGAAATGCACAGGTTCTCGGTTCTCTCACCTGAGCCACGTCCTCAACTAATGGCTCAGTCCCCTAGTGGTAGAGCAGGAAAAAGCATGAAACAGACTACATGACTGGAGGGGGAAACACTGAGTTAGCTAACTAGTTATCATACACTCTTAAAAAAGATGGCTCTTCAAGGGTTCTTCAGCAAAGGGAATGGTTCTATATAGAACCAACTAATGCTTAAATGCTACTTGGCATGGCATGCATGGTAAAATGGTTCTTCAGATCGATGGAGAGTGTATTGTAAACGGTTCTATACAGTATCAAAAAGGGTTCTGCTACTGTGTAATGTCAAGCTTGGAGAAGAACCATTTTGGTGCCACACAGTAGAACAACCCTTTCCAAAACGACTCATTTAAAAGGATCATATAACCACAACACACTGCTCATCAATCTGAAGAACCGTTTCACCATACAAAGAACCCTTTAAGCAAGAAATGGTTCTACGTATAGCTTATGGTTCTGAGTAGTATCACTGCCTTTCCTGAAGATCAGTTGAAGAACAGTCTAAGAGTTTACAGGATCACACCTGAGCCTAACCCTAACTGACCCTCTTCAGACGGGAGAAACTGGGCTAAACTGACCACACAAACACTAAAGCTTGACCAGTAACTTAGATAAAATAGCCATCTGCTCTTCCCAGCACACAAAGCTGCAGGTGTGTAAGTAAGTAATCAAACTGCTGACGTTACAGAGATCAGGTCAGATAAGACAGGTCCACTCGGACCGCTGCTGCTACAGCTAGCACGATGCTAACTCAGCGAGCTAAAACGCCAAATAATTAGATTCACACGGCGAGACGCGGCGGCCCCGCCGTCTCCTCAACATCCGTACCCTCCGCATGTGTCTCTCCTCCTTTTACGGGTGTTATTCTGCGTTATTCTCCCACTTCTCGACAGCGTCGTTCACAGCAGCGAGCAGTCAAATCTGCTGTCACCGCGGCGGCGGCTGCTGTTGTTGTTGTTGCTGCTACTTCCTGCTTTTCGCCTCGTCTCCAATGGCAACCGAAGGGCTTTACGGCAATTTAAAGAACACACAAAAACAATGGTAAAATTATTAGCGTTATTAGCGTTATTAGCGTAGTTTTGGAAACGATTAAAGAGGCATATTAAACGTTTAAATGTGTTATATTTATATGTGCAAATAAAAATGATAATAATAGGGCTGTTAGTTTAAAAGGGAATCCTTTAGATCCTAAAGAGTGGCCATGATTTAGTAAGGCGTGGGAATGAGATGATTAAGTTGTGGGAACGAGATTGCGGCTTACTAAGTCGTGGCCACGCATTAGGATCTCGTTCCCATGCTTTACTAAGCCGTGGCCACGACTTAATCATCTCATTCCCACGCCTTGCTAAGTCGTGGCCATGCATTATTGTTGTTTATACAGGATGTCACCAGTGGGGCTCCGTAGTAAACCATAAAGTTTTGGCTGAAAATGTATTTTAATCCGTTCATGGCGGAGAGGTACATGCAGGATGTGAGGCAGAATAACCTACTTTTTTGACAGTAAATAAAATTAATAATAATTAATAATAATAATTTTATTTATATAGCACTTTTCATGCCGGTGGCAGCTCAAAGTGCTTCACAGACAGGTGATAAAACATAGATATACAAGAAAACATTAGTATGTATTTAGAATCAGAAGAAAATGAAAGATCAAATTAGCAGATAGGTTAAAAACCACGAGACGTAGGTTTTTAATTAAACGCTAAATTAAAGAGACACGTTTTTAGATATTTCTTAAAAGTGAGCGCTGAGCTTGACTGTCTAAGAAAAGGTGGGATTGAGTTCCACAGTTCAGAAGCAGAATAACTCAAAGCATAATTACTACATTTGTGTTGCAGACACTGTGACCCCTGGTTCCCATCCCCGCCACTGTAAAGACATCTGAGTCTGTAAGCTTCTCTACAATTAACCATCTGACATGAAACCACTCTGAATAGCTCAGTTTACATGGACTGAATCATTTCGAAATTTTGAAAAAATGGTGAAATTCCCCTTTAAGTGACTGAAGGCATTCTAACATGTCTTGAAATCCTTCCTTAATATGTCAAGCTTTGGAGAGACATTTAGTGCTACGTGTAGATGGTAGCTGTCATTTAAAGCCATTAAAGCCATTAACAGTGTGGTTTGTGTACTGTTTTATTGGTCTGCTGGACGAGGTGAGTGGAAGTAAACAAGACAGTGACGTGCTAATGGAGCTAAGCTAACGTTAGCAAGCTAGCTGAGTGAACTTAAGCTTCTGTCAGTTCTGGATTATCTCTGCTAAAAGACGTGTATTACTGTTAAAAGCTGCTTTCTGACTGAAAATGTGACCCTAACATCACAATCTGAGTGCTGATATTCTGTAGTGCTCCTTTTATCATTCTGTTTAGAGACCTTGGTGGAGCCACAATGAAAAGGAAGGCCCAAACCACAGGTTAGCTAAACTTCAACTGTAATGAATTTTATTTATTTGAAACGAATTCCAGTTTATAATCTTCATGATTTTTAGGGTGACTGCATGATTGTGGTGCAGTATAGCCACTGCAACTCAACAAATTCAACTTATACATTTTCCACATTGAATCTAAGAAAACAAGCATCTGACTGTTTATCTAATCAAACCATACATCAGACCAAAAATGATCAATTCTGTTAGTTTCAACTCTGTAACTAATTTAAGAAACGTTGGTTTTAAGCATAGAATTAGCAAATACACAAAATGTGGTTATTGGCATCCATGCTGATGGCATAATAAGGAAATTTACTTTCAGTTTTTAAGTTGAGTAACCACATTTTCAGAGTCATTGGCCAATAATACACCGTTACTAAAAAAATAAAGCAAAAAAGAATGAGAGAACTTCTCTTCTTCCCATGATCTTCAGGAAATTCACGATTCAAGTTATTGTTGACCAAGTAATGTATGGAATAACAGCGGTGAATGAAACTAAAATGCAAATTTTTCATGACCTGTTACGGAGCCCTGCTGGCGACATCCCATATAAATAAAAATAATGTGTGGTCACGACTGACTAAGGTGTGGGAACCAGATCCTAATGAGTGGCCACAGCTTAGTAAGGTGTGGGAATGAAGTAATTAAGCCTTGGCCACAGCTTAATAAGGCATGATCTCGTCCCCATGCCTTACTAAGTCGCAGCCATGACTTAATTATCTTATTCCCCTGCCTTACTAAGTCGTTGGCCCAAAATTAGGATCTCCTTCCCATGCATTAATATGGTGTGACCATGCATTATGTTTATTTATGTCACCAGCAGGGCTCCATAACCTATAACGGATGACTCATGAAAAGAGATGTTAAATCACACATTACTACAAAAATCATGATTTTTGAAGTAAATTAATGATAATTTGTCAAGCTAAGTGTTGTTATACTGGGCTGAGACAGCCAGTAATGCTGTTTTCTAGGTTTAATTAATGTTTTAATTTATTTTTCTGTTATTACATTTTATTAACATGCATATTTTGTTCGATTCCTGGCCGGGCGACCTTTCTGTGTGGAGTTTGCATGTTCTCCCCGTATCTGTGTGGGTTTCCCCCAGGTACTCCGGTTTCCTCCCACAGTCCAAAGACATGCAGTCAGGCTAACTGGACATGCTGAATTGCCCCTAGGTGTGAATGTGTATGTCTGTCTGTCTGCCTGCCCTGCGATGGACTGGCGACCTGTCCAGGGTGTATCCTGCCTTCCGCCCAATGACAGCTGGGATGGGCTCCAGCACCCCACCACAACCCAGAAGGATAAGCGGTTTTGATGATATGTATGTGTGTGTGTGTGTGTGTGTGTGTGTGTGTGTGTGTGTGTGTGTGTGTGTGCATATTTTGTTGTTGTGAACGTCACTTTACCTGTGTTTAAAGAGAACCCGGACTGTTAAGACATGTAGGCCACAATGTGGTGTAGATGTCCAGTCCCATTCAAATATTTTGTATAAACCAAGCAAAACACTTTATTTATTATTAAAAATACACAAAATCCTTTAAGTAGTAGGTTGCCATTTTCGTTGCTGCATTAAATGCCTGCTCTCTGTCGTCCACTGAGCGAGGAATAGCAAGCTAAATATCTCATTTGACTGCAGTACATCATGCAGCCTTTCCGACTTTAGCTAGAACCTGACATTTACTTAAGAGAAAAACCCATTTTATTGTCATATTTTCGGTAGGATTGAGTTCAGTGCAACCATATGACATCATCGCAGTTCAACAATGGAGGCTGACTAGAGATTTTTTTTTGTAATAAACAAAACATTCCCATTTGGTTTACTTGTCATATTTTAATAGTGCTAGATAAGTGCACTGTTTTAAGGCATACAACAGTCAGGGTTCCCTTTAAAATGTCTTTAAACTTTACATAGATAGATGTAAATGTAATATCACTGGGACACAAATGGCGCCCCAATCATGCAGTCACCCTTTAAGTGTTTACAGGTTAAACTGTGTTCAACCTAATGTTATAGTATTTAATGAAAAGTGAATATTCTTCACCCTGACAGAGTTCAAACCTCCCCAGCAGAGAACTGCAAGGGTAAGCAGGCCGAATAGCACAGAGAGCGCCACATCTGGTGAAACAACAGAACTACAGCCTACAGACAGCAACCAGGTAGGCCTTATTGTGGGAATGGACAGTGGCCCCAGAAAGTGTTTGGACATTTCTATATTTATTTTTCATATTTTAAACAAATCATGGTGGGACTGTCATTTTCTTTTTTGGGAAAGTATTCTTTCGAAATGTGGCTGGGGAGTTTAAGATCATTGGGCCTCAGTTCATCAATATCTTCCTAAATGTTTTAAAAACTGCTCTCGAGAAAGATCCTAATAAAAAGCCTACGTCAAATTAATGACATGTTCTGAAAGCGCAGAATCTTCGGGAAAACTGCAAAAGTGGGTTTTAAGAAGAAATTTCTTCTTAAGAGCGGTTGGTGAATGAGGCCAGTTATCATTTGAGCAGCTTCTTTGCAGACTGTTTAAGGTTTTCGTCCAAAATGCCACTGTACATTTATGAGTTCATGATCCCCAAACACAAGTTTTCCAGAAAAACAGTCCCCAACATCTACGTCTGTGCTGTAAAGTCCCCAAAGTGCAGTCTGACTGGAATTCTTCTCCAAACTTTCTCCAATATTCCATCAGTTTGATGTTGTGCTAAACGTGTTATCATAAAGTAACTCAGTTGTCTTATGTGTTTCTACTATTCTTGAAGATTGGAAGCCAGAGTTTGCTGTATCTGCAATCAGCATCACTCATAGACAGCTATGAAGAACATCAGCCAGAAATTGACTCCGGCCTTGTTAAAATCCTCGCTGATGTGGAGCAAACCAATATGAACAAAACAGAAAGTGCAGAACGTAAAGACATTAAACACAAGCCCCAGAGTGGTCTAACTTTGGAACATGAACCTGAGGCCGCTGCAGCCGTTGAAGAGATGGATAATGAGACCGAGGACACTTCTAGCCATGAACCACAGACATCTCACATAGCTCAAAGCTCCCCAAACAATCCATGCCATAGATATTCTTTGGACGAGACTGGAGAAGACATTCTTTGTGGAGATGTTCAAGAGAACAGGATCAAAGTGCTGGACCCAAAGACCAGAGGTGTTCATCTAGAAGGGGTTTCAGGTGCCGTAGGTGAAAAATCCTGCTTTGCTAGTGAGACAACGTCACAGGCCACTGAAGAGACAGATTCCTTGAAACCTCCAGCGAAGAAAAGATTAAGAAGGAGAATGGGTATGTGTGGACTAGGAGATAGGAAAAGAAGGTTCCTCCTTGAAGGACAACACTGCAAGCAGGCTCTTAGTGGAGGAGAGAGGTTGGAAGTGGTGGAGGCAGCAGGAGAGAAAAATAAAGACAGTACTATAGTGGAGAATGAGGGTACTGCCATGATGGATGATGGAGGAACAACAAAACAGGTGCTTTTAGAGCAAGTGACACCAGAGGGAGCGTCGTTAACTAGGCAGGATGTGAATAAGGTCCAAGATGAACCATCTG